GGAATGCAATTAGACAAAAAACCTAATATACAGTATTACATTAGTAATATAGCAAGACTGTGAACTGAGCTGTCAGCTATATATATTTATCGACTTATTACAGTTGAAGATTCCTCTTAGATATTGCTGACTTTATCGCTCAATGTACTATCATTATCTACTCCAATGCGTCAACATTAAGGCTTTAATTAGTGTTTCAAAGGCACTTTGCTCAGCGATTTTGTATCCCCGAAGCCCTAATCAATGAAGTTTAAACATAAAGCTTCAGTGAATTATTGATATTAAAGACTGAATAATTAAGAATATCAGGCAAGTAAATTAGTCGAAGAATTCTAATTTCATTTTAGAATTATTTACTTCGAAAATATTTTGCGTGATCAAGCCTTGTCTCATGCATTTTTTTTTTCCTACTCGGCTCTTCCTTTTTCCTTCCCTCTTTTTTTTTCTTTTTTTCATTAAAAAGATTCGGTTGAAAGATTGTAATACTTCGATCCAAGCTTGTCCCATGATTTCTCTTTCCTTTTCTCTTTCTTTCTTTTTTCCCTTTCCCTTTCCTTTCCTTTTTTAATCAAATAAATGAGTTGAAGAATTGGAATTTAATTTTTTCATTTTTTTTTTCTTTCTCTCATTCCTTGCTTTCCTTTTTGATATGAAAAGCGTTTAGGGCTTTATATCATGACCATATTAAATGAAAATGCTTTGATATAATTCATTAATACATGGCGGATTTACTTGTAAAGTTTAATTTTAATCGATCGATAGACTTTAATCTTCTTATTTATCAGACAGCTATAAAGTGTTCTTTAAAAGTTTTTAAGAAAGCGCATAAAATAAACAAGCAAATATATGTTCTGGTTAAATTAAAGTAAATATATACATGTTCGAGTTAAAATCAAATAAATAACATTATTATTTGATATTGTGTGAAAGTGTGAAGCTTTTGTTTTTCAATCAGGGAGGTGTTCAGTGAAACCCTTTGTCATGGCTTAAAATCAGGATCCCACATAGCGTAGTATGGCACTACGCTTACTGTACAAATAATATAGAAATAATTGGAAACATGTAATGAATTTCCGTGGTAAGAATAATAATGATAATTTTTTTATAATTTAACTGTGGGATTGCGAGAAAAACGAGAAAGATCTTTGGTTGTTCGTTCACTTTTCTGTCGTATCGTTGGTTTTGTCGAAATTAAAATAGGTGTATAGAATATAGAAAAGAAAAAAGAAAATAAGAATTGATTAAAAACCTAAAGATGTCACTCAAAAATCTCTAATAAATGAACTGCAGAAAAATAAGAAACTTTTAGGAAAAAGCTTTTTTTTTTTTTGAGCAGTGGCAGTCAGTCTCATTAGCCAACCGCAAATTTGAAACAATGTAATGAATTACTTTTATTAAAAAATGAAAAATATATTTGCCTTGTCAAGGAAGACACTTGTTTCCTTTTTGAAACCTTTCTCTGCATCATCTTACAACTCAGTCAACAAAATACTTCCGAATCAAGATAAAATGTTTCTAGATTTTGTCACAATTACAAGAGCTCCAGGGTTTATTCCTTTCTAAGCCCGTCTTGAGTCTTAAAACGTTTTTTTCATTGAGGAAGTCGTCAGAATTCAGAATACCGTCTAAGATCCATTCAGGGTGAGCTATAATACCAGTATTGAAAGGAAACGACCAAATGATTGTCGTACTAATGTGAAAGCTTTCACTATTTTTTGTTAAGAGAGATTCAGTTAATGGAAAAGTGCTTCGTGAAACTCTAGTTTTTCATAACATGACGCTAATAAAAGTTAAGGAACTTTGTAACGGCATTAAAAATCTGAAAACATCAATAATAAATCCTCCAAAGTAGTAGAGCGGATTATAAATAAACAGAACCTTTTTCTGTTTGAGCCGCATTTCTCTTCTAATGGCATAATTTGTTTATCTAAGGACTTTTTTTTGTCGATTATTCTTTTGAAAAACTCTCAGTCACTTGGAGTATTTTCCTAATTTTTTTCGTCAAAGTGTTAATCAAACTTGAAAAAAAATAATTTGTTTTATTAGCACTTCTTGGTTTAAAAAGAAAAAGCATATATAAACATTTGTCAAAATGCTTGAACGTGCTAAAGAAATGTCCACTGAAAGTAGCACAAGTACTGCTCATAAATTTGTGCCAAAATTTATAAGCATTTTCTAAATAAATAAAACTTCTATTTTAGGAATTTTAAGTATAATAATTCAACTTCATTACAGTGCTTATTCGCTGTAATATTCCTAATCTCTTCCAGAGAATATAGTTAAGCTCATAATGGCAAAAAAAAGTAGAGTCTAGATATGGACAATTAATTTGCAAAGGATCTTTTTAAAAATAAGTTAAATATCATATTTAGTACGGAACTTCACAATACGGCTTGATGGAGACCTTGATTAACGAGAATTTCTAGTAACTTTTAATTAAATCATTAATACTTATATATAACAATCAGGGCTAACTTTAACAATAACCAGCAGAAACAAGCACTTACAATATACTTACATATTCTCGTCCAATATTCTATAAATCTCCTTATTGAAATAAGCTTTTTTTGTCTGTTTGTGTGTGGTTTTTCAATTTAATGCCCACTTTCTCTTTTGATGGTTATTCTGTGTCGAACGCTTCAAAAACAATAAATCTTCAAACAATCAAAAACATGGATAACTGTCTGGAAAAATAACATGTAGTGTCATCTATGTTTTCTAAACATAATCCTCTAGCACATCCCTTCTCTAAACTTAAAGGTCTTCATTCTTAATGGGCTTTATAAACCAAAACCTATAGGGGCTGAGATAGAGACATTTTTACTGCAGATTTCTCGCTGCACTTCATACGCAAAATACAATATGATGTTGAATCTCTTGTGAACGATCGTGTGATCTAATCAAGCCATCTGCCTACTAGATGTATGGTATTCCATCCATAACTAGATATACAAGGGCATGTTTGGTGTGTATATAAAGGCGGTGCAAATTTCGACGTTTTGTTTACACGTTTGAATTCGTTTACAATTTAGACTTTGATCTCTTAGATTGCTTAAGAAGGCCTCTTGGTTGTATTTCCTATATCCCTTAATCCTCTTCCTACGGTTAGTACTTGATTATAGTAGTTCTAGTGAGAAGGAAAAATCTTTTTCTTGGCATATTGTTATAACATCTTTTCCTTCGGGCTGTTTTGCAGCTTATTTATCGGGTCTTTTGAAGCTAATGTTTTAATTTCCTTTTCTTGTCTTGTGATAATAAACTCTTTGGCGAGAGCTCTATTGTTTTACACAATACACAACAGAATGTTTAGAGGAAATCGCATGGGAGATGAAAAGAAAACACGACAGAAATTGCCAACATGTTTGGACTTTTTAAAGCCATCAATCAAGACACCTGATCAACTCAAAACCCCAGCTTGTCTGGTGTTTCCTCGTACACTTACTCTTCCCTGATCAAATGACAGAATCATGATTCTTGCGGGCGGTATTGCCTTGGATTGTGAAAAAAAGCTGATTCGTTTTCCAAATGGTACTTAATTATAAAGTTTAACGGTGTTTGAATTACTTTGAGATCACATCGTTCCCGAAAGGCACCCAATACCGCCAGTTATTGACGTTCGGCCATGCTCATCACATAGTGTCAAATCAGAGCCCACTCTTGCCCTCTCTTACAAAGTTCACGTCCTAAACTAACAGTATTCTGTGATCATAGCGGTAGAGCGTTAAGGACCTAGCGATATAATCAACCTGAATATTACAGATTGTTCTTAATTGATTAGGTTATTAACATTGTTAGTAGATTTAGCAAATCGCAAGTGAAGCTTATCGTGGCATAACTCATCGATAAAGTCACAAAACAAAAACTTGATGACTTTGAATCAGATCACTCGAAGATGCGCTTTAACAATCAGCAATCTGTAAAGAATATTCGGCAAGAGCTTTGCTAGTTGGGATCAACTTTGGTGATACCGCTAAACGCCAGTTTAAACCCCTGTAACATCTACCAGTCAACGATATTCCTAACGATTAATGAAGCGCAGAATTTATCTATTGTTAGCCAATTCTTGTTCGTCTCTTGGCTTCGATTTTCCAAGAGTTGTTTTCTCATCGGTTTGACCTAAAGTTATTAAATATTTCTAGTACGTTTAATCTCTGAACACACAGTTTTACAAACACGAAAACTTGTAGTATTAATTAATTAGATTACAATGATGTAATCAAAATCATCTAGTAATCAAAGCAAACGTTGTTTAAAGTCAATAGAATAGAGAGCTTGTGTTCAGATCCTGCGTGCTTACTGAGCCCTTGTTTGAAGTTTATTACCGGTAACAGTTTGAATTCGGAAAAATGACAACTAAACCACTTGAATGTGTTTTTGATGTGGTGCTGTGGTAACATATACAGTCTCGCTAATTCAACGAGTTGACTTCCGAGCTTTTATTGCTTCCTGRATAAAAGGCTTCTTGAATAGCGTTACTTAACGGACAATTCTAAGAGCAATATTTGCTTGTCAAACCTAATAAAATGCAAGTATAAACAAATTTAATGTATACAGGATATACGGAGTCTGGTCATTTGGGGTTGAATTCGAAGCTCTGTAAACTGAATTTCCATGGATCCTATCGGCAACATCAGAGCGGATTCATAGCGTGTGATGGATGGTGAAAATCTAAATAAAAGTCGTTGTGTCAAACGGGACCCCTTTTACGTAGTTCCTAAAGTAGTTTTTCGCCCCTACATGTATAGTTCCGCTCGACTTTGAAGCTTCCTGCTCATGATAAGCTTCTTATCAGCCAGGAGGGTGATTATTTTGAAGGGCTTTGAATCTAAGTGAGCATTAGGTGTTAATCGTTATCACAACTCATCGACACTTACTCTGTCACTTCATTCAATTAATTTGGATGGCAATTACGCTCACTTCGATTCATCAAAGCACGACCAATCAGACGTCACTAACGTTCATTGTCCAGTGGACCGCGTTCGTATAGACATAGAATAAGATCCACCCCCAACAGTGCAGCTGAGGCCAAAGGCAACATTGGCCCAGTAAGGCACTTACACAACAGAAAAACACACAAACCATTTGCTTTATAATGCTCTGTCCGGACCACTTCAAAAATCATTCACTCATGGATGTCAGAGCGAACACACTGGACGTGGAGGCCGAGTCAGATGAAGAATCCCAAATCGAAAACAACACAGGACCAGAGGAAATTAGACCCTCTGTCACATCATTTTCGGTCAAAGATATTCTAGACCCCAACAAATTTACCGCAGCACCGCTACGGAGGCGATCGAGCGACAGCGAAGGAGACTCTGATTGTGAATCTTCCTTAAGGGAGAATTCTCAGGCTGGTGTATGGCATCCTTGGATGTCTGCTACGAGATATAACAGACCTTCTAAAGCACATGGTGAGTCGCTTAATTCTGTAAAGATACTGGCGCGCAAGCTAGCTTTCTCAGTAACGTTTTCTTGTTAGTTACTCTGTGTGTTGAAGTATTTTGTTTGGTATTTTTACTCGGTAATCGTTTCACACACGCCCAGTTCACTTGCCTTAATGCTTGATATCATGCAGAATAAAGGTAATTTGTATTTCTTGAGTCGGATTTAGCGGGTTGTCTCCTTGTGGCAAGCTTGCAGATTCCATACACAAGTCGTTACGTTCCTGACTTGAAGGCTATTTGTCGTCTCGTCAACTCTATATTCTTCTCATACTTCATTCAGGAAAACATTAGCAGGCATTTAACCTAAAAGCTACACACACTGATAAATTAATCAGTCTCAAAACGAGCGCTTAGGGTTCACTTTATCTCCTGTATTCTTCGTTAAACAGCCCGGGTTAATAATATAGTAGGTTCCCAGGCAAAAATCTCTCATCTGTGTTTAATAGTCGGAAGGGTAAATCAGCTGTTAATTCATTTGGTTTCAATGAGCTTCAAATTCCATAACTGTCTCAAGGTAGAAATCAAAGGGTATTTGGTCTCATCTAGTAAAAGATTACCGAACCAGTGCTTACTTGCTAAGATATAGTAAATCAAACAGCGTGAGCCTTTTTAATTATGACCTCTTTTGATTCAAGATTCAGATGACAAGAATTCTGAAGCAGATTTAAGTAAATCATATCAAGAAATGATCGAAGCAACGAGCGACGATTCCAAGACACTGAGTAAGTCAAAACGTAAACGCGCAACTTCTGAAAGAGCCAAGGAAGGCAAACCACGACGCGCTAGAACTGCTTTTACATATGAACAGTTAGTAGCTCTGGAAAATAAATTCAAATCTACGAGATACTTGTCGGTCTGCGAGAGACTTAACTTGGCCCTCTCCCTCGGCCTGACAGAAACTCAAGTTAAGATATGGTTTCAAAATCGACGCACAAAGTGGAAAAAACAAAATCCTGGGATGGACGTGACGGCTCCTACGCGGCCGAATATTCCTCACGGCTCGACTTCACTCGCTGGATATCCACCTGGATTCTTATGTGGAGCTCAGTGTCCTTCACAAATGCACTATTACTCAAGCAGTAGTGGGATTCCTTATGTTATTAGACCACATCCTACATACGGACACTTATGAGATTATCATTGAAGACCCTGTTATAATACCGGGCTATATACAGAGTATAAAATACGCCGGACTTCCTAAAAACATCATGTCAAGGTAGACATACTTCACAAAGACTTAAGCTCAGCTGATTTGTATATAAATAAGAACAGCGAGTCGACACAAGAACAAGCTACCTACCTGTCGTCCGAACGATCAAACCCCTAACTTCTAAGACCGATTGAGCGTGTGTATGTATATATTATTGTCTAAAACTAAGTAGGTATGATTACCAATGTTATGTACTTAGCTTCGAACGTTAATTGATGAATTGGCTTTTAATTTGGAAAACATGACCACTGAATTCTTGTTAAAACTGAAATAATCATATCATTCTCTCATTTCATGGTCTAAACAAAAGATAAGTGATTGAGTTTGTATTTTACGTTATGATCCCTTAAGACATTTCAAATAATCATTGATCTAAAACCATTCATTGTCCAAACAACTTAGTTTAATTGTGTTTAAATGTTAACTCAAATTTTATAAGTAAACTTTATCATCCAAATATCATTCTGTAAGGAAAGTTGCATGTAAACAATTGTACAAATGATTTAAAAATTAAGGAGAACCAATCTAATTTATGAACAATAGTGGTCGAGTTTCGTTTCATCAAAACGGGGTAGAAATTAACCAACTATACATCACTGTAAAAGAAACATTAAATTATATAATATAAAAATCAATCAACTTTGTAAAAACTATTAAAGAATTATTAACTAAATGGGGAAAGGTGTTTTACTATAACACACAGACAAGACTGGAAATTTTCTTTTCATTTTTTATCGATTTACAAGTTATTTAGGATTGGTAATTATGAGAAATAAGATAGACAAATATTTTGTTTTATTGCTAAAAAGAAGACAATGTGTATGGAATGATGATCATTAGCTGGGTTCGGTCGAACCGTAATATTCTGCGGCATTACCCAGACATGGTTTCTTTCCTCGGCGTGTTTTACTTAACATAAGTTGAGCTAATCATGTGTATCAGAATTAGCCTATGAACATGTAGCCTGAGATCTGTTTGAGTTTTTAATTGATGGCGAAATGCCTTGCGATAAAAGCCGTAACTGATGATCGTGGAGGGAACGCAGCACGCCTCCAGTAGACCCCCATAGCTAACCACTTCTTTTATAGCGCCTTCGTTTAAATTAACATCTAAACACAACCTCGTTTCCTGGCTACTACAAGGAGATTGTTTTCTCCTTCGTGCCTTAATGACGGAGAATTAGGGATTGAAAAACTCAACGGAACTTCTCACAGGGAAACCTATTAGAGAAATACTAGCTTTAACCTCGGTGTTTAAGAAACCCATTATTAGCAGCAAATAATGTGGTTTGCTTTAAGTCATGGTTTATATAACGTATCCTGTGTCGGTCCTCTTTTACTGCACTGTGAATTCTTTGGCTTGTTTTTGATTAGCAAAGAGTAATTTGCGATAAGTTATGTCTTTTTGATGAATTATCTTCCATAACATAATTGATGAGGAAAAGCTTGCTCAGTTGGAAGGGGAAACTCTTCCTAAACACTCTCGTCTGTTAAAATCAAGATAAGTTTAATTTATTTTACTTTGAAATAGCATTTTTACACTGCATATAAATTGTGAATAGATTTCTTTTAATGAAAATTGAGCAAACACGTCATGCAATTTGGTAATGAGAATTTTCCACGAAAATACCCATTACAAACGGTCATGACAAAACTGATCGTCACACTAAAATAAAGCAGTTCTTCTTCTCAAACTTATATCTCTGGACGTTTTTTTTTCATTTCGTTTTCGATTTTGAACAGTTCCTACTAATTTTAGATAGCTTTACAGGATAATGCTTAGAAGAAAATACGGAAACTGTCCTAACATTTGATAGTATTGCAACACGATCTAATTAAATTGTATCTCATAACACCACTAAAAGACAAGAACTGTTTTTTACTTCGATAAAGTTCCTTAACGTTTTTTCTATGCGATTTTTGTTAGAAAAATCTAATGAAAATCTTATTAATTTTTTTTTTATTCAATAACTGTATCAATTTTTTATGAAAGATGCTTCAAATATCTTTAAATTAATTCCTATAGTTTCTTGTCAGTGTGGCATCTCTTATTTCTATTTGATTGAGGATTACTCTATCTCTTTAGTTTTAATCAGTGATCAAATAATTCCCAAAGGTGCATTCAGAAAAACATTCATTCTGCATGGTTTGTTCCGACAAAATGATTAACTCCTTTGGCGTCAAAAAAGTAAAGGAATTTAGATATTTAGCAGATTACCAAATATCTTCAAAGAATTGATTTAGACTATCCTGAACAAATCTGATTCAATCTTGGATCTTACAAGCATTTCTAAATTCCCCATAAGTTTTTTATAAGTTTTTTTCCAAAYATGCTTGGTGAAATAATGCTTGGCACATGACTTAAGATTGATAGACTAATGTCGTGTACAGACATGAACACTTGTGTTGCCAAATAGTTTGGACTCAGGAATTCTTGTCTAGATCATTTATTTTGGTCGTTCAAGTATTCTGTTATCAGTGAAAACGCTCCTGTAAGCAGGGATGGCTTCAAGAAAGTCCATAAGTATTTCAGACTAAATACAAAAACTAGTAAACTGAAAATATAGCTGGATTTGAGTTAATGTTTTGAACCTCTGCATGCTTTCATCAGTCATGATCCAGATTTATGGCTTGTAAGCTTTTTGACAGAACCAATTGTTCAATCATATTACTTACTGATTTTGTGAAAGTAAATGCATACAATAAAGAACACCAATAGCTACAAGAAGATTTTTTTCTAACTCACTTTACAAAATTTTTCACTCCTGCAGGTTTAACTAGTTAGCTGACCTGATATCGACCTGCCTGTACATAAATAATCTTTCAAAGCATTCCAAGTTTAACATGATTTCTTTACCTTTTTTCACGTGAAGAAGTGTACTGACAACTAAGAAAGCCATTCCCAGGAGAATTAGAGACGTGAGAAATCTATAGATCTAAAAAGTACTCACGAACTGATCTAGCCAATGCTAGAATGACTCAAAAGTATAGACGAAGGAATGTCTCTCGTGAACGCTGTGTGAAACGATTAGTTCATGTTTGACCCAGTTTTAAGGGAAGCATTTAGCGTAATGAACTAGTTTGTACAGAGCCAATTTATAACTCATCATAAAACAGGGATGTGGCGGATTTTCAGGTAATGAGTTCTAATATAGGGTAGCATTTACGATCTCATTCACACGAAAATCTAAAACCTGTTCTCAATTAATATCGGTCGAGGAAAATCAATTTCGTTCCTCACGATCATTGAACTAAACAACCTGTTTGTATGATGGGAGCCTTATGGTGAACTCGGTACTTAACTTGCTGGGGGCATCAATGCACCCACCAGATAATATAATTTGTAGTTTTTTTTACTAATAAATTTATAAATTAGGTTACGGGTCGTGAACATAGTCCAATCGTTGCAGGGTACCTCCAAGCGCGTGCATGGACACATGTTGCCGATGTGTGACTCGTGGTGACTGCGGTACTGCTTTCTCAAGAGTCTTGTGGAAAAATTGTCTGTGGTAAATTCTGAGAGGACGGTTAACTTTAACTTTAACTACTTTAATGGTAGATAACGATAAACTTACTGAATCATTCTTTTTCTGATTTATTTGTGGTTAAGTCTACTGCCGCAAATGGAGTTGCTTTAATGTGCAGGGAGGACGAAGCAGGAGTGATCCTGGTTTCACAATAATGGAACACAGCATATAGTTGAAGTGAAGAAGCATTTTTCATTTTGCCTTTGCTTAGGTTCGGGCAAAATTGTTTCATTTGTCGGACAATGCTCTTCTCATACAGATACATGGAAAGACGCTACAGTGAAAAAGATTGGAAGCATTTTGTAACTGAAACTGAAATGGATGGCTAGTTCATGAGTGATATGTCATTGTAAAAAACAAGCATCATAGCTGACATATATCGTTAAAATAAGAAAACAATGAGCGGATACTATGGTCAACTGATGTAGCTCTAAACGAAAGTGAACAAATTTGTTCTTTCTTTGGTCCGATGAACAGATAAAGGCTAATAAAGCTGGTAGCGTTGAATCATTGAAAAGCTTGCTGAAACAAAGGTGCGGCTCACAACCAAACAACATCATGGTCAACCACGAATCGTGCTCAAAGCCTTGTACTGAAAACTTTAGATATGTGATCTCGGATCGTTAAGGCCCTTATAGCTTCAGGCGTATTGTGGTTGTCTTTGCTTCAGACTGTTAAGGCAAGGATGAGGACTTCGAAAGTAAAAGGGTATTCAATTTACATGTTTCATTTTGATTCATTTACAAAAACCTAAGATTAGGTGATCTCTCGTAGGACTTGTTCATGGATCACGTCTTTCTTACATTATTAGGTATTTTTTAAATTAAACTTAGACGAGTAAATCAGATTTATATGTTCTTTCCATTCATTAATGAAAGAAAAGCTCTTGATACTTTGTTGAATGATACATTGTTGATGTACAGCACCAATACCGAGGCATTTTCCAACTTATCTTCCCGAGGATTTTCGTGACGAAACTTAGATATTTAAGCTCAGCAACTGAAATTATAGTCGCAGCCGTTCGGCAAATTAACGATAGTTTGGGTTAATGATCATGTTTTTGATATCTGCGCTGCGGAGAATCACAGAGCGACGTCCGCGAACCTTTCAAGACACGCACATTCCAATTAACCCGGCTTATGTCTATAAACTAGTTGTTTAGCAAATATTGTGGATAGTGTATTGACCTCAATAACCACGTATAAAAACCCTTGTCATTGATTACACACTTGACTACAAAACTGTAGAGCGGTTTCAGTAATTTAATTGGCTGAAAACCACAGTAGTGAGGATACAAGCAAGTCAATAAGGAAAAAAGCTTCCGTTATGTTTTTTTTAGAAACTTTGCTGCAGTTCAAGCTTGTTTAATTTGTTGCTTAGGAAATCACTGCCGGTCCACATGTAAGCGCTGTAACTGAGTATAACTGACTTAATTCAAATAAATGTAGTCTCTAAATCCAATAACCAAAACTTCATACCACTGGTATGGAGTTATTGAGTATATATAGTATAGCCTAGCGTGCTGTGTCAGTTTAGATGCAAGTGGTGCTGCTTGCCAGATATATCCATCAGTTTCTTCGTTGCCGGCATGAGATCACTGGCGGAGTCATCTGACGCTAACTTCCGACCGGATAATCTTCAAACTTAGAAACAAAATGCCGCTTTGGTTTTCGAATTCTTGGACAAAATATAAAACATTTTTTCCGGCTACGAGTTTTCCGCCCCCTCTCGATACCATTCACAGAAGCACATGTTAGCTTGGAAAGAGCTTTTTTTCGTTTGCTAAATCCAAGTCTTTTATAAGCAAAGACTGACTAAAACTGACTCCCAAACGGATTCAGTTATTTCGAAGTGCACCATCATCGATATTTTCGGTTAAATCAAAGTATCGTTTCAACGCCAAAGGGAATATTGGTATATCAAATTGTTATTAAGCTTAATGAAAGTTAATGAGAGTACAAACAAGAATTTCATAATATCCTCTTTTGACTTTGGTTTTTAAAATAAATAAATTAGTTAAATTGATTATTGCGGAAACAATACATTCCAAACGGAAGAAATATCAAAATCATATCTTCGTTTTGACTGGGATTATTTCTCCAGTAGTTTTGATATTTATTTGCAATTATTTGCGCACCTTCGATATTGAATATTTCTTTCCCTCATAATGGCTTTAGATCGTAAAAAGGCAAAGATTATAATTCATTCTAGATGTTAAAATGGTTGTTCCAAGTAGGGTCATATATGAGCGCAGAAGTTAATAATAGTAATTATTGTAATTGAGTTATGATTTGACCACTGTGTCCCGTGTAGCATGCCAACAGACTGTTTCATCCACTTTACAGGTTGATCCAGCATTTTCCTCTGCTCTTTTTGAAGGTTCAAGTTCTAAGCGACGTTTGAAGCTATGTTCAAATTTTATTCCTTTAAGAAATTTTCTTTTATTCTTCAGTCCTTGAGGCCTGTGACAACTGTAGATTCACTTGCGGTAACTCTTTGGGAATTATGGGGTTAAATGCAGACAGGAATAGTCTCAAGGTGCTTCCCGCAGAGTGGCGGACTGTGGAGTATTAAAATCAGCCGACAAAGATATAGATTTTCGCCTAATTAGAAATACATGTGAGGCCAAATGTGCTTCGAGAGAGATAGCTGTGGCTTTGCTTACCAATACAGTGCATCATGAATACTGTGGTTCTTATCAGAGAGCGGCTCTTGCTCACGGTATTCGGTGCAATCAAAGAACAGTACTAACGATGCTAATGAATGTGCTGTAAGCACCAAGGCAAAGATAAGTCTCATTCTTTTCTTGATGTCACTAAGACACGTAAATCTTCTGCTTTGCAGTTAACTGTTCAAGTTTTTGGTGACATCATTATTTTTTACATAACGTTTTTGATTCTGAAAACAATATTTTATATATTCACGCTGGAAAAAAATGATAACCTTTGTGAAAAACCAGGGGCAACAATGTGTCCTCTTTAAGATATATTGAGATTTCTAAAAGAAGATGAAGTACAAACCCTTGTACAAATATAACATCAGTAGATAGATGTTAGCAGTGGCCAAGTTCTAATTTTAACGGCAAGAAATCAACGATCCCAGAAAACAAACTCTTGTCGCTTGAGCTGCTACGTCCCAACCAACAATGGAAAATTCATCGTTAAATGACCCAACAAAGGGTCACCGTTTTCTAATTAGTTCAGTATTTAATTAACTGTCATATATACGCCGGTTGTTATGACAATAAAGGATGCCAAGTGTGTCGTTTGCTTGGCTCATAACCGTGGTCGTCAAGTCACCTTCAGTCTTTGCCCTTGATGTAACTTCTGTCCTCCCACTGCTCTTCATCTGGGGATGCCATTATACGAGATAAAGATGGCGGCGATACTCCATCGTCCCTGTATTACTGATTTACTTGATACACGTAATAAAATTTTGTATTGACTTATAGAAAGAACAAAAGATTCTGTTATTGCTAGCAAACAAACAATTTAATTAAATGAGGAGTTCGCATGCTAAGTAAATAAACCTAATGAAAAAACACACAATAGCTTGAAATAATTAAAATGGGCTAAGACGATTTTTATTGTAAGCAAACGCCGTAAAGACTGTTTTGTTTTGGGCAGAACAAAGGTGGTCGCCCTTGAAGTTTGGTAGTACGTCTAAATAGACCTGGTTGGGGGTACTGGCTGAGGAGACTTGAAGTCTTCTCTTTGATTCTCAATGAAATGATTGAATACTACACCTTAACAAAACGATACATACGAGAATCTGGTTCTCCGTTTTAGTAGGCATTGACTTAAGGTGTTACAAAGCTAACACGTTTGTTAAAAAAAATAGAACGAAATTTCGTGAGATTTTGTTTCAAGAATGTCTTCGTCACTAGGGATCCCGTGCCTGACGAAGGTTCTAGTACTAGGGTTTTATCTTTGCAGTATCCCATTGGATTCTATTGGCTTTGCTTTAAGGATTTTGATTGGGCAAGAGCATATTATCTCTGTTGTCCAACGGATGGAATTTTCATTCAATCACACACTCCAAATATCCTTGACACCTGTGCTAACTTGTTAGCAACGTGTCGCTGGCTGGTCCCGAAATAACTCATCGATTTAAGGATTAAGAATAAAAAAGAAAACACTAAAAAGAATAGATCGCAAAACTAAGAGTAATCGAGCTATCGCTGAAGCGTGGTGTCCGGCTCTTTTAGCCAAATGTTTATATTGTAATACATACATTGGTGTGTTTCATAGTGCGAGTAAATGACAATAAGTGGTACTTAGTGCAAAGCTGTGCACCCATCAGCTATAGAAAAGGTTAATCCCTGATGAGTCGTCTCGATTGTTTAGAATGTATATATTCGCTTTTAATATCTTGAAAGAGCGCACGCTTGGATGACTGGACACCGCATGAGAATCCAATCAAATGATGAGGTACAATTGGCACGGCTTAGGTAATAACCAACAAGCTTAGCCTAATGTTGCCGAGGCCAATAGCTGTTACTACATTACTTGATGGGAAGGGTCAAACAACAGAGCGGAATCAGGGTGGATTTAGTCGATTTGGGATAGATGGTATGCGTAGTAGCAGTCAGGCCACACGAGATCACAATGTCGGTATATAATACAAACAAACTCATTGAACCTGGAGGGAGTCCCCAAAATAAATAAACGCAATAACGACCCCGACAGTGGCTGTGAATGCTATTTAAGTAATGCCAATTGAACCGGCGTGTAATAAATAGGTATAAATTGACATCAATCAATTGGATCTATTAATCGTGGCTTGCAGGTCATCTTCAATGACCTTTTGCAACAATTAGCCCGTGCTTATTAAAACCTGTTTACATTATCTCAAGTGTTGGTTGCCCTCGGCTATTAAGCGGTGAGATAATTGTCCATTGTCTCTTGTATCTTTCACAGAAGCCGCTTTCCGCTCCTGAAGGGCAAAAATTAACTCAAGCTGACTCGATTTCTTTGCAGAGATCTTTACCGATTTGTTTTCTCAGGACAATGTCCGATCGTAATTCAGCCGTTTATTTGTTTAGCGTTCGTACGAGTCCTTTTGAACAGGTTTGTTCACGACTCAAAGAGCAGTGAATTAGGCTTCTATGAGACTATAAAAGCTCTTGTCATAGTTCAATTGCGATAAAAGTTTGGTGTTATTCAACTATGTATCTTGAGATGCTTCTAGATAAAGGCAGCAGTGGTTTTGGAGCAGCACTTTTTCCGACCACTCAATTCGTAGAATGAAAGAAAGGGAAGAACAGGAGAAAAAAAAATCTCAAATTTCCCAGCAATTTTGTTATTGGAAACAATCTAGTTTAAAATTTCCACTTGACTAATTATCGATGAAAGTCACAGCTGAAGTCAAGTATAAACTTCAGTAACTTTTTAATCTAATTAACCCGACTAATATGAATTAGAGAATATTTTTAAAGAGCGATGTGGGGAGTCAAAGATTCTCATCGCCATTACCTGGGTTGAATAGGAACTCACCTATTGGTGGAAGGTTGGCAAGGATTTTTGTCGATTTTTCTAAGGGTCCTTACATCCTTATGAATATAARACGAAATTTCGTACCTTTTTGAATATAAGGGCACTTTTTCAGGTTGACAAGGTCGTGAGATTTTTCTATGACCTCCTCCTGATTTCMTTATGAACATAATCCATGTTCACATGAAATCTTTTACCTTTTTAAGACCTCTGGTATGCCTTTTATTTATCTCTGGTATGCCATTTATCTATCTGTTTTTATTTTATTCATTCCCATATCATTAACAGGAACGTCTAGTCAGTAGCCTAGGGCTAGTTTAAATGAAGTCCTTATATCTAAAAAGAATAACTCA